ACGTCGATGCCAGAGTTATAACCTTTGATGTCCCGAGATGTGCGTCCTTTTGTTGAATTACCTTGGGTGGAGGTTGAGATTCTATCGAAGGGAAAATATGCGTGGAAATATGAGAGAATTGTGGGCGGAGGTATACTCTCTCGAAGTTTTCTCTAGTTATATTATCATTATCATTAATAATAGGCCTAATTATTATTACCATCATCAATATTATTCTGTATTTCCAGTCATTTACTTTCTTGTTTCTTGAGTTATCTTCACAGCCGATAACAAATTGTTTTTAATAGTAGCTACATCATCTCCTTGGTTTCTGTGAACTCATTTTTAATTTATCCCTTTGATGTGTATGTATGCTGAAGACCTTGAAATTTACAAGAATTTAGACGGGTGACTCAATTATTCTTGAGGATGACCTTCACTAATGACTGGTCCCAGAATTTCCAGAAATGGGATCATAACCCCGGAAATAGGGGTAGCGGTAGCGTCGGGGAGAAAAAGCACATCGTCAGGGAAAAAGGAAAACTATATGTAGGCCCTATTATTTTTATTCTAAAATTAATTAAATAAGCCTTTGAAATCCCTAAATTGTCATCGTTTTCGACCTCCTGGACTCGTCAGGGACATCGGACCCCCAGTCGGGCAAATTCTGGCGCCACCCCTCTGTCTGCAAAGTGTAAATTATTAATGTTAAGAAAACGATATTTATAAGAGTCCTTACTCACAAAGATCTAATAGTGTTCATGTTGAATCTAAACTTTTGTTTTCTGCGGAAAATCGCATGCTGGGCTCATGTAGAGAAATTGTAAATATCATGCCCGAACTAAAATTACAATTTATTGGATTAATTCGACCTCCTCGATTTTGTTTTAGGTTATAATTTAATTAGTTCTGTTTAGTTTATCGTATTGTAGGTTTCATTGTCGTTTCATGCTATATTTTGCTTATAAATCATCAAACTCAATTAAAATAAATGTCTTTCACCCAAGTTCGAGTTTGTAGAGATTCCTAGACCTTACGTTTAAAAAACAAATTATATACATAACATTTTTCAATTGTCAATTTATCAGTGTCCTCTGCCATAGATGAACAAGAAAACTACAGTTTATGTCCCTTTATCGGGAGAGTGAACCATGCCAAAATGCAAGGGCGCAGATCTGTTTTGAAGGTGAGGAAATTCACCGTACCCACTTAAGCCCCACCATTGGGGAACAAATTTGATATATGGCCGGAAATTACACTCATATGATATAAAATTCATCATCAGTTCATCACTAATTGACAATTATAAGCTCCAACAAATTCCTCTTGATCTTTTATCAGCAACTTTAAGTAAAAGATTATTCCATGAAAAGTGTACAAGAGTTGTATGTAAGTTAATGATTTTACTTTAACGGCATAGAAATGCTGAGTACGCTCATTTTATTCAACTCCAGGCATCTTCTTGACTTTAATTATTGTGGTCAACCCCCATATGACATGTAACCAATGAATTACCGTAACATTGCCTGGCTGTGACAATACAATCTGATCTAAAATGGAACACCCACGTTAACGATATGATACGTAAAGCTTCTTGTCGCATTTATATGATTAGCTGCCTGAAAAGAAATGGAGCGGATCAATCTGATCTTATATTTGTTTATCTTACCTATATTCGACCACTTCTGGAATTTGCATGCCCTGTTTGGACTACCATTATTACTTCAGCACAAAGTTATAACATTGAACGGGTACAAAAAAGAGTACTACGAATTATTACTTATCCTAAACAATATAAGTATGATCAAGTTCTAGATCTATACCAAATCCCCACTTTAGTTGAAAGAAGGAGAACTCTTTTGACTTCATTTGCAAAATCGCTATACAATTCTGAACGCTACTCGCATATGCTACCTCGCAGACGTATTGACCCAAACGTTTCACTCAGAAGAGTAAGAAAACTCCAAGGACTCATTCCCAAAACTAAACGATATAAGAACTCTGCAATCCCCTCCATAATAGGAATTCTTAATGAACTTTATTAAGGTTCATCATAAACTAATAATGATTATCGAACAGATTCGAAAAACTCCGTTTCGCATAATTGAAAATAAACAAATGAATAGGGTTTTACATAATGAAAACATCAAAAACCAATAGTAATTTTTTTTTCTTATTTTTTTTTGAGTGTTGTCTGGTCCTGAATTTGGGAATTTTGTGGTTTGTTTGTGCTTTTTTGATGTCATTTTGGTTAATTGATTGCTGTTACTACGAATCTTAACGTATATAGTGCTAGACATACTAACCTGAATAATTTCGAACAGTTTCGTAAATACTCTGTTTCGCTTAATTGAAAATAAACAAATGAATAGGAATGAATGAATACAGTAGGAATATAATTTTTTTTTTTATAGGAATGTGTACATTCCTATATATTTACTTCCTTTTTTTATATAAGTAATTTTGAATTGTATTTTGGAATTGAAATTTGAATTGTATATTTTAATTGTAGGCCTAATTATAAATTGTGTTTAGTAATTTTTTTTAATTCCCTTGTAAATATAGCAATTTTAGTCTTTCCTTTGTTTGACTGCTGTTATATATTTTAATGTTTTATGATTGTGCAATAAATACCTTAATGAAAAAAAAACTTAGACCGATGTTGGGCAATTACACGTTAATGACTCGTTCATCATGCTGTGTCCCTAATGGCGCACCATACATAATGTTGTTTTGCGTGTAACAACAAACCCGGAAACCGAAATGAGCTTTCGTTTAAAGATATTCTTCTGGTAAGTAGGCCGTAGATTTTGAATCCAGATATCCAAACCTTAGATAAGCCTAGATAAGCCTAGATAAATTCATTAGCTAGGACTAGGTAGGCTTAGGTAGGAGGGTCTAGCCTAGGGCCTAGGCTATATTATAATAAGCCTAACCTAGATGAATCACCGCCTAGGGTAGGTCTAGCCTAGGCTAGGCTTATGACTGTCTATGTAGGCCTAGGCCCTATGTTGTTGTTGTGTTCGTTTATAAAATGAAATTTTTTATCATGTTTATAAGCTACTAGGCCTATGCTTGATTGAACATTACTCCAATTGAAAAATAAAATTTGTCTGAATCACTAACACTGAACAACATTGGCTATTATTTATTTATCTATAAATTAATTAATTAATTTGTTTATTTGCTTGTTTGGTTGGGCAATTCCACGGTAACTCATGCTACACCTTTGCGCATCCATACTCTTTTCAAGCTCTAGTTATTAAATTAATTTGATTGGAATTTTCTTTTTTTTGTATTTTTACACATGCATCCAAGGCTATATCACCATAGAATTACAAAAATAAAATACAACTAGTGCCCTGCTTTGCAAAATTTTTTAGGTGGCAACCCACTTTCAGACTTCCCATACTTTGGCAACCGTAGGAATATATAATACTGTCATCAGCGGCGTAGGTATGAGCAGTCATTGCAAATGGGGCCCGGGGTTTGTGGGTCTGTTTAATATGCCTGTAAATCTAAAAATAGCAAAGAAAATTCCTATTTAAGTTAAAGGACCCCTCAGTGATGTTAGGTTTTAGAGGCCACTATTAATGGTTAAGTTCATTACAACAAATGCTGCAAGTAGGATCAGATTTGTAAAATTTTTCACAAAATAGCCATCAACAGCAACTCTATTGTTGACATTTTTTAATAACGTCAGGTGATCATACTTATGAATACGTTTTACTTCACTGCGAGTTGGTGGATGAATGTTCTATTGTTGTCTGTATTATACTTTATCAGTGACTCATGATATGCCCAATACTGTAGGCCCTAAATGAAATAAAATGTATGACTTGCAACATATTTTGGACTCAATACCCTTTAATAATTATATATATTTTTTAAAAATCTTTTATAGATATTTCAAAGCCCTATCACTTTTTTAAAATCTGAGAATATATAAGCATTTTGAGTTTCACCTAAGTAGACCCTACCAAGTCTCTGTCTCTGGTTCCAATCAGGTGCAATTTAGGACACTTAAATGTACCCTGACTAAATGTAATTCTGACTCACATTACAAGATGGTCAGAAAGGAACTCTGTAATCCGTCCCTCTGTGCTTCATATCAAAGGGCTAGAAATTATCTTGCGTTGGAGCCTGTCACCATTTCATTATTAAAACAAAACTAAAATGCCGAACCTCGATCTCGCACATTTTGTGTGGGTTGGGTGTGGCCAACAATAATTTCTTTTTTTGGGGGGGTGGGGGCCTTATGGTAGTTTATTTAGGCCTCTTTTACTTGCCATAAGCTCATGATAATGCTGCCATAGTAGCACTTGCTTCGTAACAGTAATTTATCCAATACAGATGCTGTTGCATTTTTTAGTCAAACCTCACCTAAGTCGAATAGAAAGTTGCTGTGATAAATTTGATTATTATTTACTCTGCAAAGTGCATGAGGTATTTTTTGTTTATCGTTGATTTTTGTTCAACCTATGTTTAGCTGCAACGAGGACCTCTAATGTAGGAACACTCGTTTGATTGATTAATTGATCTTTTTTGCTAGGTCTTTTTTGTATGAGTTGCCGTTAAGGCCAGTAATAGTATACTACTGTATGCTGCCTCTATTATTCTGCCCTCATCGGAGCTTTCGAGATTACAAGAACTTATTTGTTTTAGTTTGAAAGTAATTTCTCTAAAGCTTGTAAAATGATTAGCTAATCCAATTTATTAATTAATCAACATTAAGTAAAATAATAGTTTGAATTATTTTAACTACTCCGTCTTTCCTCTATACTGTAGTGGATTGCCACTCAAATGGTTGAATTTCATACTACAGTAGATTTATTAGTGAGCCTTCGTCTAATCTAAATAATATATGAAATGACTTACCTTACTAAAAGTAAAACTTACAAAGTTATAATTTTTACATAATTTTTTTTTATAAACCTGAAATATTTTTGATTATCTATTTCAACTTTTTTAATAATACTAACTATATAGAATAAACAAGGTTACTACATTTGCTCTTTATAGTTGTTTTAAATTTTAGATTACTGTATTCATATTATTGTTGTTATTATAATTAAATTATTATCCATACAGAATAAACAAGGTTATTTACATTTGATCTTTTTAGTTATTAATTTTTTATTGTTATTATCATTAAATTACTAACCATACAGAATAAACAAGGTTATTACATTTGCTCTTTATAATTATTAAATGTTTATTATTATTATTAAAATATTATTACCATTAAATTATGTCATGGATTATAATAATTATACAAACATTAAAAAAAAAAACAATATGAATTACATACATTAAGTTATTACTATTACACACTTTTTTTTTTTATAAGAACACATTTTTTAGAACACTGAGGCTGAAATTGGTTAAAAATTAAGACTAAATTGAAGCTGAGGTAAAATGTCAAATGAGGTTTTTATTTTTCGAAAAATAGAAAAACCAACATCTTTTCTTATGCAGTAGGTGTGACCTCAGATGAATAAAGTGACTATGTAATACCATGGAGGAATAGCTATAATACAGTAACATACTGCTGTAAAATAATAATTTTGTATGTTTGAAAAGAGTGTAAAAATATGAATGAAATAAGAATATTTAAGACTGAAATTTGCAAAAAATAAAGAACACTGAGCCTGGACAAAAATTAGTCTTGCTATGTTTTTGAACTAATGACATAGAATTGTTGAGAAAATTCAAATTAGCTTATGCTTTGCATGATTTTTTGAGTAACTTTTGTGGCTTCCTGAATTCTGACTTGCTAACTTCACTGTTGCAGCTTAGATCTTGAAAAATAGAACCAAAAGATCGAAGCGAAATCAAGATAATGACAAATTTTTAAAAAATAAATCATTTATTCGCAAACATGTTTCTCCGGTTTCCTACAGGCATCATCAGCGCTAAATAAAAACAATTACTAAACAAACAATTGCTACAGCCTGAATACTGAATGATCATTAACTCATGTGTTGTGACACGTACAGTAGCTTAAATGTAGTTTGTTGCCACATAGTAGAAAACTAATGTATTCATTCTATTGGACCAATTACATTTAAGGAGTGTTTAGCTCTTGTTGGTTGCCACGTAGTTGAAAGGTAATGTATTCATTATATTGGACCAATAGAGTTAAGGTGTGGTAGGGTATGCTAATTATATACTGAGTGTTATGTTGTAATGTTAAACTTGTTTGTAGAGTGAAGGATTTGTCCATTTTATGTCAAAGGAATAATTCCTTAAAATTGAGTACAATAAAAAAAAATGTATTATAAATTAAAATATATAATTAAAATTATATATGAGAAGATGTAAATGGTGGGGGGGGGGGAAAGTCTGGGGAAATTGCCCTAGGGGAAATAGTACGGGGAAAAATGTCACAGGGGGAAAATTTCTGGGCGGCAATCAACCAGCCTAGACCCGTATGTATATGGGTGACCTTCTCTAAGTAGCTTAAAATCCACTCCCTCTACTATTCTTAAATTAATTAATCAATCCATTGCAGATTGAGGGAAAAAATTATTTTTACTGTTGATTTTCAATAGAAAACGTCAACAGTGTTGACGTTTACATACTTCAGCATTCGCTAGCTGTGTCTAAGCAGTCAGTTATTTTACAGTGTTATACCATACACATTACAGACTATAATGGTACTAAATAGATAAGTCATGTATTATTTTAGATTTTATGTTTATGCACTGAGAATACTCACTAACAAATTGTATTTATTTATTTACTCAGGTATGAAAAATAATGGAATTCAAAACAAATTGTAACACTGTACCAAATACAGTTTAGATTAGTTGCATTTGGTATGCAATTTTGAACATAGACTTACAAAAAAAGATACTAAATATAAGCAATCCATGATATAAGGTACAGTTTGATTTTGACATGGAAATTCTGTTTCCATTGGCAATAAGTGGTATCTGTTTATTACAGAAAACTACACACTTATACATTAAAATATACAAATAATTTTAACTGAAAAATCAAAACAGGGCCAAGAATATGCCTTACTCAACACCCGATTTAAATGGCCACAGCGTAAGGGTAGATATAAACAACTTACATAAATTGTCAACTGGTGCTCTATGTATGTCGGATGACATTGCTTTGTGAAAAAGTGCAATGCATTCTATAGAAAAAAAAAATCATTAGTTGGTCTTATATCATTTTCTGGAGGATACAGAAAGGTAAAATTATTGTATGAAAATATAGAAAAATACATATTTACAGTAGTTAAATTTTGTGAATAAATATACTAGTAAATCGTCATATAGCGTTAAGAGAATGGTGCCGTGTACATCTGAAGATGTGTGAAAGCTATGACATATCCGATTCTCATTTTGCTATGTGAGAGTTCTATCTTGTTTTTCTTGTATGTTTTTTGAATTTTTTTATTTGACTTTAGGAAGACATACCAGTCAAGCATTAAACTACAGATGATTAAGATGTATTAAATGCTACAGCTCGGAAGTGGAGGTGGGCTATTAAAGCAGAGTTTGTTGGGGGGGGGGCTGTGTTCGTAAGTCAACGAAACCAATTAGGTAAGTCAGCACAACAAGATAACGTCGCTCACATCACGAACTAACACAATCAAATTAGATTGTGTTAGTTCACGAACTAACACAATCAAAGTAGATTGTGTTAGTTCATGAAATTACAGTAGCGCGTCAAAACAAGCGCGTATTGGTTGTCAAGCAATTTTGTATTCTTTACCACACAAAAAGTGCTTAACGACAGCAGCGCGTATTTTGACGCGCTTTTTTAATTTCGCGAAGTAACACAATTGAATTTAATTGTGTTAGTTCGTGATGTGAGCGACGATAATGTTTGCCTTCCAAGAGTGAAAGTAAATTTGTTGTGAGGGTCACAATTCATCTCACCTGTGCAATTTATTTACCGATGTATTTTCTGAAATTTTGCTCCTTTCATTGTGGGGCTGAGATGATTGTGGACCTCTGTCGGGAGTCTTTGACATTACTACAGGGAACTTGACTCTGTCTGGGATTTTGGACCTCTGCATGCAGGAATCTTGTGTACCATTAACAATGGCTGCACACTTACACCTTACTATTTGGAGTACCTTATATGGCAATTTTCTTTAGAAGTTTGAACCAAATTACAGAAACAGAAATAAACCACCGAACTAAACTTCGAAAATAATAGTGAACCGTACACCATTAATTTTTTAGTTCCTTTGTAACCTTAAGATCACAAGGAACTAATGGGATAATTCGAACATGAAATGTATGTGTGTGTGTGTGTGTGTGAGCAAAGTGAGCAGCGGGTTTGTAAACGAATAGGCTCCTAAACGGTGTCTCACGGTGGGTATAATGTTTTCCTCATAGTAACTGATGGACATGTAGTTGTGTCAGATGAGAAATGTAGGACGTATGCGATAAAACATATACCCCCTACCACCATTTTTGAGTCATTTTTAGGAGAAAATTTCGATATGCGCATGCGTCGGAAAAACTTTGCCGACATTTTGTTTTTCATCGCGAGAGGGTAAGCGAGCTCCATAATGCATACCTCGTTGGTGTAGTTGACCAATTATTTACGGGATCGTCGGTAGGGTTTGTTAATGTAGCAGGTGCACGTGTTAATAAAAATGAAAAAAAGTGATCTAACCAAACACGGTCTTTACATAATGGTATTGGATCGAACGTGTTTAATATTTTGCGGAAATTTTGTTTTCTATCGCGAGAGTATACAGTTTACACTAGAGAAGTTGTCTGTATTGTTTATGCGAACGTCTAGGCCCTAGCATGAACTTAGGTAGTTGTGGTAAGTCGACTACTGCTTGTCGTCTAGTAGGTGTAACATGTGTTTTAGTAAAAATTAACGTGATCTGAACAATATTTTACATTATATTATTGAATCGAATGTGCTTACCTACCTAAAGTCTTTTACACACGATGAACACGGCAATTGACGTTGCTGTTGGTGTGTAATACACTATAACAACTCCCTGGCAATACGTACAAAACACCACGACTACAGCAGCATTCAGTCAGTCTTGTTAAAATAAATAATATATTGGTCTATCCACAAGACTACTATACAGATCAATAAACAATAATCCGCGACAAAATAAAAATCAAGAGTATTTGTAATGATTGAATATGTAGCTTAAATGCATTCATATAAACACAACTTACTATTCTGACCTCCATTACTGGAATTAGACCCTAGAGGTCTGTGGCTTGATAAACCACAGAGCAAAAGTTGACAGTTTTGGCGGCATTAGTTTGATAGACTATTTACAATCGTTGAAATGAAATTCCTCTAGGCCTATATATATAAAAAAAAAAAAGGAAAAGAAATTGGTGCAGAAAAAAACTAATTGTGCACATTTACTGTACTTTAAACACAGAAAAACGTACGTGTCGTCAGTATTATGAAGTTTTTTGTTTACGACTGCTGTGTAATTTTACTGGTTTACAACATACTCATGTCATGTGTACTTGAATATGTAAAATAAATGAGTATTCCTCCATATTCTTAACTCTCTGCAAACTCGAAAATAAATCATTGACTGGGGCACGTTTTATCTACCACCATACAGCGCATGCGTGACATGCAGTATGCAGAGCAGTGGTAGTTATTGTGATAACTATTCTACTTATTACGCATGCGTGTCACTAAGCAGATTTTGAACGAAGAACGAAAGAAAATTTGTTGTTGTCAAACCATGGAGGAGGTATGTCAAACAATGAAGACTATTTTAGTAGATGATAAATGGATAAGTTTGACTTCTAAAACCGCCAACTTTGGTTCTGTGGTTTGACCAGTCAAGTTCAAAACAGGCAAATCTGCCAAATTGTGAAAAAATAAAAATGAAGGACATTTTGTAGTGTAACCCAACACCACCCCAGCCCTACCATGGTTTTGGTTAAGGTGGGAGCTTTTTAGGACATGACAGCTTTGGATACCCGAAAATGTTAATCATACTTCAAAATTTGTTATATCAAATTGACGTCCCGATTTCCGATGTCAAAAACACCAAAAAATAGGTACGTCCGTATTTTTAGAATAAAAAAAAAATAATAATTGCAAGAAGTATCCACTACTTGCCAGTGTGATGAAGGGAATATTAGTCCGTGGTTCCCCGGGTATAATCCCATCCCCATGAACGCGAAACTGTGCCGATTTGGAAAGGGGGGGGGGTGGAATTATACCCCGGGATTCCCTTGGCCTAGTGTATGAACAGACGGAAATGACGATCGTTTTGCAAGGTGGTTTCACCTACGATTCAATAGCCTATCAAAACAATATTCGGGCGAAGAAATCAGTCTTGCATGATGTAACGAGTTATTTTTAGCAGTCAATCTCCGTGGAAACACGCAAGTCTTCACGCTGTGAATTAACGATCCGATCAGCCCACTGGGCAGGTCTTTTCAGGGACGGACCGCGGTGTTGTCTATCTTTACTTTAGCCACAGTTAGCGAGCTGCTTATTTTTAGCGACAGTAAACAACAAAGTAATTTACAAGAATGGGCTTTGTGTTTTAATTTATGGCGACCAATATCAGTTTTAAGCAATTTTAAGAGTTTCAAGTCGGCAGAATTCGGAGACAATTCCTTTATTTTTTGAGCATTTTTTAAATTTATCGACCTAGGCAAGGCCTGCTAGGCCGACTTACCCAATCCTCAGACCCTGGGACATCACCCGGGGAAATTCGTGTACGCGAAGTTGGGCGTAAAGTCGGTGTGGGATTCTACCCGGGGAACTATGGTAATATTTTATAGCAGTGAAAAAGTTTTCTCTATTGTTGAAAAAACAAAACCAAGCATTCGAGCTAGCATGACAACAAAAACTTAAAGTGCTTTAATGACACACAAGCTGGAAATGTTGAACAGAGATTATAAGTGTCAGTCGAATAAATATTGACGTTATGACTCCAATGAGATCCAGCGAAACAAGCAACATACCGTGCCCTTCATGGTGAAGTCTGTAAGCCTACTGATTAAAATGTAATTTAAATATTTTTTCTTGGTTGTGAGGTAAACAGTACACTTGAAATTGAGTAACTCTTGTTTTGTTTGAAGCAACTGTACAGGAATTAGGATATAATTGCCATCTTAAATTTTTGACACCAATGAATAGCGTCCCTATTTTTGATATTCGAATGTTGGTATGTAAATATACAGCATTTGATGGATGGACCTGTATGGGGGTGTAGGTGTACGTAAAAACATTAGAAACCATTACTGGACTACATATCCCTCTAAACTACAGTACGTTTACGTACAAAGGAACGTACACACCCGTAGGGTTCTGGTTTGGTATGCTAAATAACAGTGAATAGAACAGCCTACAATAGGCTGGGAAAACCAGTCATTGCCGCACCGTTAATTTGTTAGGTATGCTAAATAATAGGAATAGAACAGTCTAGGCTGGGGAATCGGGTATTTTTGCACCTTTCACTGGTTGGGTAAGCTAAGTGTTATTTAACAGTGAGTACTGTTATCGTTAATTAATAGCTGCTATTTATTATCGTTAATTAATAGCTGCTATTTTTTTTGGTTTTTTTTTGTTTCAGTGTGAAAGTTTGTGGAACTTGACAGATTGTGTAAAGTTTATAAACTCACTGCAAGAAGTATAAAATCAGTAAAAATGAAGAAATCAGGTAAAATATTATGCAGTATTTTTTAACATTACTGTACAGTATATAGATTTCCCATTTGGAAAGCATAACATTCAAATACAATTAAAAGCCTTTCTAATCATGCATGTACAGTAGACAAAAGACATTTGACATAAAGAATTAATTTTGTAAACATACCCATTTATAATTGTGCGCAGGACCACTCACGAGTAGAGGGGGACTTACTTAAATATTCCGATAGAGCTAGCTTGAGGTAATGATGTGTGTGAGATTTCAAACCCACCCGCACAGTAGAGAACCTGAATCACAACCACTACACCAAATGGTAGCTCCCATTTAATTTTATCAATTTATCAAACATTGGTAATGATGAATATCATCTCTGCCTATACTAGTATTAAAACTAATAAGGTGTCAAATTACTTGGTCTTGATATTGCTTGTTTTCAAACATAGTTTTCTTTGTGTCAGTCGTATTTACCATTCTTTGGATTTTCCAGCTCATTATATGCTTAATTATATGTAGTGCATAGAGCTTGATATATAGTTATTATATTCTGAAAATTTATTTTTTATATAAAAAAACTATTATAATAACCATACCTTTCACTGTTATTATACTATCATTTTTTCATAGAGTTTTATGAACTGCTGGTAAAACTTTCTACTGCAATCAGCAAGAAAGAAAAGCATGTAGATATGCTGAGTGTGCTGTACAGAGATATGGCAAATAGAACAGAATTGGAGGAAGCTGAATCTGCATTTGATTTATTCCAGTTACTAATAGGACCAGGTATTCTGAAACCAACAGACATTTCAGTTTTGTTTGAAACAATTCAAATAACTGGATTTAGATATTTAAAAGAGATAATTGAGCAGTATGAGACAAATCCAAAAGAAGTGAAGATCACAAGATTTTCAGCACATCGTCAACATGTTGTTGCACTTGGAAGAGGCTTTTCAGTTAAAGATGTAAAAAAACTCAGTCAATTGTACAGAGACAACCTTGTTTTCCCTAATCAATGGAAATTGATAGAAGATCTTGAAACAGATGTTTTAACAGAAGAAAAAATGTCAACATTTCTTCAATGTTTGAAGGAAAATGAAGTAAATAAAGGTTAGTCAACAAATAATATCACATTTATAGGCCTCTTCAATATATTTTGTGGTATAAGAATTACGCAACCATTTGACATGGAATAATTTGATTAAATTCAATTCCGTTTCTTTTATTGCTATTATACCATCTTGGGCTTGATATCTACAGAAGCAAAGCAGAGTTTAATCACAAAAAATTAAAATAATTATAATTTATGCATCATAGGGCTGGAGCATTACTCTACAAGGGTCCCACATATACCACCCTAATTAAATTAATATTTGTGGGGTATCCATTATATTGAATTAATGAAATATTGTCATTTTGATTTGTCAGTGCTGTTGTCAATGCTATCCACTTGACGTCATACATATACTGTATTTAAATTACCTAGTCACCGTTTCTGTAACATTGGGATCCTGTTCAATGTCAGAAAAACAACAACCTGCACTCAGAGGTCACTTAAGGTGCATAAGCCTATCACGTTTTCATAATTCAACATCAAATCTAGATCAATATCTTTAAGTATACTAACTTTGATAGTAGTCTTTGTATGTCAACAAGAGAGTAAAATTAAATGAGGTAATATATATTTCTTACTACTTAATAAGTTAATATTGTTGGTGGCATGTGTTTCTTTTCTTTAATACAGATTTTAATCAACTTCTTTTGGAACTCTCTGAGGCAATAAGCAAGAAGGATGAAAAGTATGTGGACATGTTAAGGGTTTTGTACACAGATCATGCGATTATTAAAACAGAGTTGGAAGAAGCTAAATCTGCATTTGAATTATTTCAAATACTTATAGTAGCAGACATTTTGAATCCAAAAGACATTTCAGTTTTGTTTGAAACAATTAAATTAACTGGATTGAGGTATCTAAAGAAAATAATTGAGACGTATGAGGCATATCCAGATGAAGTGAAGATCACTCGGTTTTCACAGCATCGTCAACATCTGGTAGCTCTTGGAAGAGACTTTTCAATTAAAGGTCTCCAGACAGTTTGTCAAATGTATGAAATTCCAGACAACATCTCTACCAATCCATGGAAAGTAATTACATTTCTGGAAAATGAGGGTATCATTTTAGAAGGCCACTTGTCTTCGCTTCTCATGAATTTAAAAACTGTTGGTAAGAATGATGGTTAAACAGTCATTTTGTTTGCAGTACAAAATAGTGCATTCTTAAACAAGTAATAAATATTGATAATTACAGCTGTATCGTACCCAGGAAAAGCTGTATCAAAGACTGGTATCTGAATTCCAGCTGATCATTAAAGAGCTGTCAACAAATATAGTACAGTACAATATTTTTTTAAAATCTTTTCTATTTTATAGGTAAAACCCTATTGATATTGTAATTTAACAACAACCTAAAACATTGAAAAGTCTTTGCTAAGAACTTTAATAATGTGTTTACTCTATCTTTTCTTTACAGGGCCCTTATATGTAGGAGTGCAAATATTGTGGCTGGTAGTCCACAAAAAGATTACAATCCACCATAAAAAAAATGAATCATCTGTTACCCAGAGTTTTGTAGTTCTTTAGATTTTACATTCCATCTGTCTTCAAATTTCCAGTTTCTGTTCTTTGCAGGTAGTGGAGAAACATCAACAAGACAAATGTCAGACAAAGGTTTGTACTGTGCAATCGATAATGTGTACTATTTTTAAGGCTCACTAACAGCAGCGCAATGATCAGAAGCTCTATTTGTACCCTTGGCATATTAGCATTTATGTTAACTTTCAATGCAGTTATTTCTCAATTTGTCTATTTTACCTTCAGGAATGTTGTGGTTTCTGAAGTTTCGTAAATCTTGAAATTAGTGATGAGCTTATATCTTTGCTAGACATTTAGGTACAGTTCGTGTGTTGGTAGAATTCGAGCATATATGTTAACAGGTACAGGTAATTAAAAATGGCTACATACAAAATTTTTTTTTTTTAAATTCATGACGGAAAGGTTTTAAATTAAACGGTAGGCCTACTGCTATTTAAGGCTCGCTGCCCCAGCGGGGTTTTTTGTTTTTGTTTTTGTTTTATTTATTTTTTTTCAATAAATCTAACACTTTGGAATTAAACAGGTACTCTACTGTTATTTCTGGTAAATATTTATTTGGTAAACTGTTTATTTCAGACACCCAATATTTTTTTCGATGAATGTAGCCGAATTTGTTCGGGCCAAATTGGTTTGGGCCGAAGTGACCAGCATTCATTTATTTTTCCTGTAGAAATTTTGTAGAATCTGAAGCTCATGAATCTTGGAATTAGTTATGAGCTTACCTTTAGAAATAGTATGATGGTATCTGAAGCTTGTAGATATTGAAATATGTGACCCAAGCTCACAAAAGGGCTGTAAACTCGCACTGCACTGTATTGAGAAACAAGCCTCAATACCCAGAATAGGGCGTAGAATGTGAATTTTGTGTGAATTTGGTTTTTGTGTAATAAATAAAGTATAACTATTAATCTTACTATTCCCGAAGTTCGAGTTTAAAATTCCAACTGTAAGAGGTAAAATTTAGCCATTTTCGGATGGGAGCTAGTGAAAAATGAATAGAAACCTGCCGAAAATAAAAGCATTTTTCTCAAAACTTGATTTAAGAAAGTTGATAAGATGACAATTATTCAAACGGTCATAACTTTGCTTCCAGACATCCGATTGAGTTCATTTAAGTGTCATTTTAAAGTAAATGATATGTTCTATGCCATTATAACAAAAACTCATTTTGGCCTGAGGACGAGTTTACAGCCTGTTTGTGAGCTTGGGTCACATATGTGATGAACTTATTTCTTGGCTTCATTTATGTGGTCAATTGGTGTGCACTTGTATGTATGTTGGTAGAAATGTGTTTTCAGAAATCTGTACATTTGAGCAAATAAGTGATAAGATATCATAGAAACTACATCATCTATACCACAAGGTGACCTGCTATGTTATCTGAATGCAGTTATGTAGGCCTCTACATGTGCTCAATGGCATTATGAAGTGTAGTTTACTTTAATTATTGTAAATGTTAAACAGAATGGAAATAGAAATTGTGCTGATCATCGAAAATCAGTTTGATTACCCTTTTCACACTAAAGAGAATATGTTTCAACTTTAAACAATTAGTAACAAGTTGTAACAAATTTGTTGAGACTTCATTTGTTTCACACACGCAAACCACATCAAGCCTCAAAATAATAGCATTTCTGTAATTGAAAGCAATATTTGTTTAAAATTTTTTTACTTGGTACATATGCATACTTGTCTACTTGGTCTCACATCTACTAGGTAGTCTAGCCTGATAACGATATGCTTTGTGTTGCCTCACTGTGATTCGTAGCATAATTTATGATGTGTCATTTATCTCACAAATTCAGGTTCTCCACGAAGAAGCGAGCTAAAGTGTGTTAAAATCTTGATGGAAAACTGTTATCCTCAATATGTCGGAGAGAATTTCAAATAACGTCTTAATGTTGATATGTTATTTATGGTTGCATTTTCACACTAGAGATTATATCCTGCATGAATAATCAGGAATAAATAATGTTTAGGAGCTATCAAATACTGTACATCCATGCTTACATTGCAACAAAATTTACAAAATGAAAATATATTATTACTAAAAAAAATCACAGGCTATAATATGTAATACTAATAGTAGTACATATACTGCTATATTAAATATATCTCTGCTGAAATAATGAACATAAATTAATAGCAGAAATATATTATTGTCGTTTGATTTTATTCCAGATATATTTATTAGAGATTTCTTGACTAAAAGGCAGAAACATTTGTATCAGGATGTGAACTGCATGACACCAACAATATGGCATGAGGATCATGAAGTAGATATTGGACAAGTATTTACTGAACTCATCTTGGTACAATCTACAAAAAAAGACAGAAAATCAAAAGCCAAGTCATCATCTATGAAATTGGAAGGTAGATCCACATCATTAAATGAGGTGTTAGATGTTATTAAATCAACAGAATCATGTAAGGTATTAATTACAGGTAAAGGAGGGATGGGTAAGACTACCCTTCTTCGATATATTGCCTATCAGTGGGCTACAGATGGTGTATATAATGCCTTTGCTGATAAATTACTGTTTCTGATAAATATCAGAGACATTAAAGCAAATCAAACATTTTTTGAGATAATTACAAAAAAAATTGATGTAAAAGCATTAATATTTGAGCACAACTTGCCATCTAATTCAGTTGAAGCTTTTATGTTCATTCATGCTGATAAAATAGTGATTTTGTTAGATGGATATGATGAGTTAGGAAGAGATGCTAAAGATCCAATAGATCTATTCGAAGGGAATGAATTAGGAAAATGTACAGTGTTGATGTCATCTCGACCTGACACTAAAAACATAGTTAAATTGGTTAAATTCTGTGATGTACACATTATAGTTAAGGGATTCGGTCCAAAAAACATAAAGAAATATATCCGTAATCATTTTCGATCAATCGGTAAAGATGAAATGGGGATCTCACTAGTTACGAAGTTAATATCTGATTATTGTGATAAGTCTGATGATGTATTTTATTATGGTGATGATAATTTTCTTCGCCGTCGTCATCGTTATTGTGGTCACCACCAAAAAACAGCATTTGAATTATGCTCTTCTCCACTGTTATTGCTTAAGATTTGTATCATATGGGAAGATAAAATGTGCCTACCATCAGATTTGTCAGAACTTTTCAAGGAATTATTTTGTGCCATTTTAAATCAATTCCTAAACAAGGATGGCACCGAAAATGCTATTTCCCAATTTCACAGAATTCCAAAGAAATATGCAGATGCCATTCAACTATTAGGAGAGTGTATGTATAAAAGCCTAAAGGAAAATAAACTATCTATTGATGGATATGATTTGTCAGAGATAGCAAAAAATAAAAAAGAGTGTAGCTTAGCACTGAAACTTGGATTTGTTTATCGAGATAGCCTTGATTCCAAAGGCGATTTAAGGAAAATTTACACAACCCCACATAAATTAATTTCAGAGTCACTAGCAGGATTTTACCTATATCAACAAATACAAAAGGGGAGTTTAAAAACTGATGAATATGAGGTAATAAGGTTTAATGATTTCTTACACATGACAAGAGTATTTGCAATTGGATTTCTTGGTGCTAATGCTTGTAAATTGCTGAGACATTGGTTGGTAGGTCAGAATTATTACCCTTATCCATTTAGTTGGAGGATGTACTCACTTACAGCTGATAATCTAGAAAAGTTTGTTGAATCAATAGGTGAGAATGAGACATTGAATTGGAAAAGGATAGACATGAGTAGGATTAACCTATCTTCAATCAGTGGGAGAACATTAGCTTGCCTTTGTAAGATCTCTACACACCTGATCCATATAGACATAAGACATTGTAGTTTATCAGGTAGTATTGTTAATGAAATGATGGAGGAATGTCGTAGAATGAATGTAGCGTTGAAAGACAACATGCTTAGTTTGGAAGGTAATAACCTTAAAGATATTGATGGTAAATCACTTGCTAAGTTAATCAACATAATTAATCACACTGATGGTCCCTTTACAATGAGAAGGAAAATGAGTAGGAGTGATTACTCTTATCCCTTTCCATGGAGTGTCTATTCACTTACAGCTGATAATCTAGAAAAACTTGTTGAATCAATAGGTGAGAATGAGACATTGAATTGGAAAAGGATAGACATGAGGGGGATTAACCTATCTTCAATCAGTGGAAGAACATTAGCTTGCCTTTGTAAGATTTCTACACACCTGATCCATATTGACATGAGTCATTGTAGTCTATCAGGTAGTATTATTAATGAAATGATGGAGGAATGTCGTAGGGTGAATGTAGCATTGAAAGACAACATGCTTAGTTTGGGAGGTAATAATCTTTCAGATATTGATGTTAAATCACTTGCTAAGTTAGTCAGCATGTTTAATCACACTGATTATCCCTTAACAATAAGTAGGAGAATGAGAAGGAGTGATTACTCTTATTCCTTTCCATGGAGTGACTATTCACTTACAGCTGATAATCTAGAAAAGTTTATTGAATCAATAGGTGAGAATGAGACATTGAATTTGAAGAGGATAGACTTGAGTAGGATTGACCTATCTTCAATCAGTGGGAGAACATTAGCTTGCCTTTGTAACATCTCTACACTCCTGATCCATATTGACATGAGTTGTTGTAATTTATCAGGTAGTATTATTAATGAAATGATGGAGGAATGTCATAGAATGAATGTAGGGTTGAAAGACAACCTGCTTAGTTTGGGAGGTAATAATCTTTCAGATATTGATGGTAAATCACTTGCTAAGTTACTTGAGGTAATTTATGGTTTTACATTTAAATGGAGTGATTACTCACTTACAGCAAATAATCTAGAAAAGCTGGTTGAATCAATAGGTGAGAATAAAACATTGAATTTGAAAAGGATAGACCTGAATGGTATTAACCTATCTTCGATTAGTGGGAGAACATTAGCTTGCCTTTGTAAGATCTCTACACACCTGATCCATATTGACATGAGATATTGTAGTTTATCAGGTAGTATTCTTAATGAAATGATGGAAGAATGTCGTAGGATGAATGTAGCCTTGAAAGACAACATGCTTAGTTTGGCAGGTAATAACCTTTCAAATATTGATGTTAAATCACTTGCTAAGTTAGTCAGCATTTTTAATCACACTGATGGTCCCCTTAGAATGAGAAGGAGAATGAGGAGTGATTACTCTTACCCCTTTCCATGGAGTGACTATTCACTTACAGCTGATAATCTAGAAAAGTTTGTTGAATCAATAGGTGAGAATGAGACATTGAATTGGAAAAGGATAGACATGAGTAGGATTAACCTATCTTCAATCAGTGGGAGAACATTAGCTTGCCTTTGTAAGATCTCTAAACACCTGATCCATATTGACATGAGACATTGTAGCTTATCAGGTAGTATTATTTTTAAAATGATAGAGGAATGTTGTAGGTTGAATGTAGCATTGAAAAAAAACATGCTTAGTTTGGAAGGTAATAATCTTTCAGATATTAATGGTAAATCACTTGCTAAGTTAGTCAGTGTAATTAGTCACCCTGGTGATCCCTTTAGAGAGAATAATTACTCTTACCGCTTAAGAGTGAGAAATGACATTGATCCCCATAGATTGAGAGATTTTTCTGATCCACAGCCTGATATTACGTTTAAATGGAGGGATTACTCCCTTACAGCAAATAATCTAGAAAAGCTGGTTGAATCAATAGGTGAGAATGAAACATTGAATCTGAAAAGGATAGACCTGAATGGTATTAACCTATCTTCGATTAGTGGGAGAACATTAGCTTGCCTTTGTAAGATCTCTACACACCTGATCCATATTGACATGAGATATTGTAGTTTATCAGGTAGTATTCTTAATGAAATGATGGAAGAATGTTGTAGGATGAATGTAGCCTTGAAAGACAACATGCTTAGTTTGGAAGGTAATAACCTTTCAAATATTGATGTTAAATCACTTGCTAAGTTAGTCAGCATTTTTAATCACACTGATGGTCCCCTTAGAATGAGAAGGAGAATGAGGAGTGATTACTCTTATCCCTTTCCATGGAGTGACTATTCACTTACAGCAAATAATCTAGAAAAGTTTGTTGAATCAATAGGTGAGAATGAGACATTGAATTGGAAAAGGATAGACATGAGTAGGATTAACCTATCTTCAATCAGGGGGAGAACATTAGCTTGCCTTTGTAAGATTTCTACACACCTTATCCATATTGACATGAGACATTGTAGTTTATCAGGTAGTATTATTAATGAAATGGTGGAGGAATGTCGTAGGATGAATGTAGCCTTGAAATACAACATGCTTAGTTTGGGAGGTAATAACCTCTCAGATATTGATGTTAAATCACTTGCTAAGTTAGTCAGCATGTTTAATCACACTGATGGTTCCTTTAGAAGGAGAATGAGGAGTGATTACTCTTATTCCTTTCCATGGAGTGAATACTCACTTACAGCTGATAATCTAGAAAAGTTTGTTGAATCAATAGGTGAGAATAAGACATTGAATTGGAAAAGGATAGACATGAGTAGGATTAACCTATCATCAATCAGTGGGAGAACATTAGCTTGCCTTTGTAAGATCTCTACACACCTGATCCATATTAACATGAGTCATTGTAGTTTATCAGGTAGTATTATTAATGAAATGATGGAGCAATGTCATAGGAAAAATGTAGCGTTGAAAGACAATATGCTTAGTTTAGGAGGTAATAACCTTTCAGATATTGATGGTAAATCACTTGCTAAGTTAGTCAGCATGAATAATTATACTGATGGTCCCTTTAGATGGAGTGATTACTCACTCACAGCAAATAATCTAGAAAAGCTAGTTGAATCAATAGGTGAGAATGAGACATTGAATTGGAAAAGGATAGACATGAGGGGGATT